GAATAAGAATTAGATGCCTGCCATGTGCCAAACGCTGTGATAAGCACTTTACAAATGTTATTAAAGAAGGTGGACATTACTGAAACACACATCAAAGAACCACCCCATTGAGGTCTTTCACTCTGTGGGTAACATTTCTTTGAAAGTTGGCCTGACGCTTTGCTTTCACACACTGACCTAAAGCATCTCAAGATGGTGGAAAAGACATCATCCGGTCAAGGCATGAGAGAACAGGTCCCACACCAAAGAGTGGTGAGAGCCCCAACGGTATGTCCTCAGCCGGCTGCATGGTGGTCCCATGCTCTGCCCATTTTCACACACCAAGAAACTAGCAAGCAAGTAATAACCTTGCCCATACAAAGAACAGGGTCAAACAGGGAATACAAGACGTGAGGAAGTCACAGTCACAAAAGTGGGCACAGCCCCATGCTGTTACAACCAACACCATCACAATCCAATACACAGGAGCAGGCTTCTCTTTGGTGCCTGCTGTGTGAAGAAGGCCGTTCGAGGCACTGGTGGAAGGGGGGTGGGGTAAGAGAAGAGAGAAAGAAAAAGGCAGACAAGGGATGGTCCTAGCCCTTAAGGTGCTTACAGTTTACCAAGGGAATATGACACGAACCTTGGAAACCGCATGCCATGATGCACGCAGCAGATGGACCGACATGAGGGGTGGGGAGGGAAGGCAGCACCTCAAGGTGGGCACCATGGAGAAGGTGGCACCTGACTTGGCTTTTAAAGGGTAGGGAGGAATTCAACAGATAGAAAGATGAGTCAGGATATTCTCAGGAGACTGGCTGCACAGCAATGTCAACAGGGTGAAGCAGATCTTAGGGAGGGGTGAGATATTACACCAGCCTCATCACCCGGAGATTTCCAGGTCTAAGCCAATGGCCCAATTACTACCAAAAACGCTGAATATAAAATCCTATCATAACCAAAAGCCTAGCTTGGAACTGGGGTTTGTAGAACTGGTCATTTCATAACATCGGGTGTGCAGAATTAAAAGGAAATATATATATACACACAGCTACGTAGGAAAGATGAATTTTTTTTAATCACCTTCCCCTGAAAACTCCTTGCTCAGGTTCCAACTCACCATATCCTGAAAGATTTCTGGATCTGAGATCCTTTCAATGATTCTGATGGCCACTCAATCCCTGCCTTCTCAATGAGGGCGAATCTTACCTAAAACTCCCCAAAACCCACCATGGGGAATCTGGCCAAAGCTTTGGAAACCAAAACAGCTCCAGGTCTTTGAGAGCTTGAGGCCAGTGAGAGCAGTAAAGGGGCTGCCAGCTGCTCAGGCTCCCTCAGCCCCCCTCCCCCGCCCCTCCAGGGATGCACGTCTACTTGGTAGATGGTATCCTGGGGCCACTTTCACAGGAGTCAACCTTGGCAACGACCTGTACCGGTACAGACCACTGTACCGTTAACCAAAAACAACATCACAAGTCCATGAGACATGCCCTGCAACTGGATTTATTACAAGAGAAAAGCACACGCACGTGGGAACTCCCTATACCAAGGACGCCAGCAGTACAGGGAAAAAAAGCCTTGGTATTTAAGTTACAGGGAAAAGGGGAAGTCTTAGAGGAGGGGAAAAGGATTAATCTCTTCCTAAAGGGGAGGAGAAAGGCAATGGTAAAAGCAGCATTCTTTTCCCTTGGGAACTGCTAGACCATGGAGATAGGATGGTCCGCATTCTGAGAAGGGGTTTTTTAAGTATTATTTCCTGAACCTTGATTCTAGGCAGTAAGAATACAAATGATTTCTCTGGATGAGGCTCATATCCTGGACCTTTGATCTCATTTATTGTCACAATTAATTTTCTGGTAAAGATAAATGGATTTTTCTAGATGCACTATTATCACGTCAGCAGCAAATAAGCATACTTTGACCTATGTTTCCAACATTAACATCCTCTGATATCTTTGTTCCTATTTTTCTGCAATGTCAAGAACTTCTACTGCTGTGTTAAATAAAAGTAAAGACTGCGGCACTCTGGTTCTGCTCATCTCCACCAAGAATGCCCCTAAGATTTCTGTACTGCCAGCATGCTGGCTCTTGGTTTCAGGTGGGTAATTGTTATTACGGCAAAGAAACATCCTATTCCAAAGATTCTGAACCTGGCATCCTTGACCTTGGAACTTTCAATGCTTGATAACCATAATTCAGTATAACTGGTTTACAGTGTAATCTCATGTACATTATTACTCTATGCCTCTGAAAACATTACTCTGAGCAGGAGTCCAGAGAATTCACCAAACTGACCACCAAAGGAATCCTGGACACAAAAAAGAGGTGAAAAGGTGCTGCTCTATTCCTGTTTCTTTAAGTGTTTTAATACGAATGAATGCTAAGTTCCATCAAAAAAAAAAATGTTTTCTAGGGGCAGCTAGGTGGCGCAGTGGATAGAGCACCGGCCCCAAAGTCAGGAGGACCCGAGTTCAAATCTGGCCTCAGACCAAACACTTGACACTTACTAGCTGTGTGACCCTGAGCAAGTCACTTAACCCCAATTGCCTAAAACAACAACAACAAAAAATGTTTTCTGTACTTCATGATTTAATCATACAAGTTTGAGATTTTTGCTACCATGATATACTACACTGAGCCAAGCCCTGCTTGTTCATGGTAAATAATGTGTTTACTGCTTTGATATGTTCTGCTATTTCTTTATTTTCCATTCTACACTAATTAGGGGAAATTGTCTTTGTGGTGTTATCCTTGTCACGTTTTAAAATCCATAAGGCATTTGCTTCAGAAAAGATACTGGGTTACATTCCATCTTTCTCCACATTTATGAATGCTCTACATAGCACAGGGATCATTTGTTTGTGGAAGGGTCGAAAGCATTAACCTGTTAATCCATCTGGGGCATGTGTCTTTGTGTGGGATAATTCTCTGATGATCCACTTCTCTTCCTCCAAGAAGAAATTATTATTTCCCATTGTGTCAGTTTGGGTAAATTAGGCTTTTGTAGATAAGCATCTATTTGTTCTAATTTATCTAATTTGTCAGAATATAGCTGTGGGGAGTATTCCTCTTGAATATTCTTGGTTCATTTTTTCAAATGAGCTTCTGGCTTTATCAAGTCAACTCAAATGTTCTTTCATTTTATATTCTATTTATTTTTGCTCTTAACTTTATAATTAGTCTTTTCTACATTCTTTTGGGCTACTGGTTTGCACTTTAGGTGCAAGCTTTTTCCCTGCTTGCTCTCATTAATGGAAGCATTTAGTAATATAAATTTGACTCTATAGACCACTATGGTCTATACGCACAATTTTGTATATGTGGTACTGTTGTTTCTGTCTTAAATACTGTTATCATTTTTCTTATTTCTTTTACAACTTAATCTTTTTTAATCATTATTTTTCAGTTTTCATAGTTTTATCAGTTTTGCTAAGGTTATTATAATTTCATTCCAATATTATACTGTGATTTGGAAAGACAGTATATAGAATGTTTGTCCCCCGAAAGTTACAAAGGGATAGATTCCCTATGACTTAGCACATGTTCGATATTGAACATTTCTACATAGCAGAAAAGTATAAAAATTCTTTCTTTCTCCCATTTCATTCTTCCGTGTTAATTTCAACTGTACAATAAGCAATCAATCTGTGAGTTCTTTGTTACTGAATTATTTTATTTTAATTTCATATATTCATAATGGAATACTAAAGTTTCCAATTGTATTACTGTTAAATTGTTTATCTGTTTCTTCCTCTAATCCTACTAACAATTCTTTTATGTTTGGTGCACACAACTTGAGAACTCACATATTTATTATTCACTTTTTCCTTAATACTATTAATTAATGTCCTTGTCAATCTCTCAATGTTTCTGAGGTTGAATTCAGGAGAATTATCAGATAACATTGATGCCATTTTTTGTACTTGTGGGTGCGATGATGCATTATAAACCAATCTCTGACCTTAATTGCTTTATTTTTTTATCCAATGTGCTTCTTTTAAGCATCCACAATAATCGGTATTCATTCTTGATCCCTTCTGTAACCCGTTATCTTTTAATAGGAGAATTTAGACCATTAAAATTTATCATTTTAATTAATAATCTTTCTTTTCTTCTTCTTCTTTTGTTTTTTTTGGCTAGGTAATGGGGTTAAGTAACTTGCCCAGCGTCACACGGCTACTAAGTGTTAAGTGTTTGAGGTCAAATTTGAACTCAGGTCCCCCGGACTCCAGGGCCGGTGCTCTATCCACAGTAATTTTTCTCATTGCTCTTGACGTTGCCTAGAGAGCGAAGTCAACCTTAACTATCTATTCCTATTTCAACTATTAACGAGACAAGTTACAGTTCTGTCTTCAAGCTCTTAACCCTTATAACTGACTCGAAGGAGGGCTCCCGATGCTTGCAAAATGGTTTACAATCATTACGTCATGTGAGAATCCAAACAGCCCTGTGATATGCTGTGGGTATCTCTATTCCCATTTTGCAAATGAGAAGATGGAGGCTCAGGACGTTTAAAGAAACCTGCCGACAGTCACAAAGTTGCTGAATATCAGAGGCAGGATTCAAACACAGATCTTTCTGAACGGAAATCCAGCACTCCACCTGCTAGGCCACAGCCAGCCTGAGGCTCAATGCCGTTTCCAACACAGGTGACAGGTGCGTCACTGCGCCTGCCAGCTCCTTCCCTTCATTTGCTCATTGTGTCCTTCATTTTTCTGTGTACTTGCTAAATACCTTTTTTGGTTTTTTTGGGGGGGCTGGCTCTCTACCCACTATGCCACACTGCTCCTCCATCAAATGCAAGCTTTTTGTACATGCTTTGGAAAAAATAATACACAAAGAGAAAAACTGAATTAATCAATTTTTAAAATGCATTGAACACTGCTCCAGAGTCTGCCAGGGGCAATCTTACAGCAAGTCCAACCTGTTCACTATGGGCACATGAAATGAGGTCTGGGGTCAGATACCATGAGAAAGACTCGAATTGCTCCCACCACCCCCCTGGGCCGGGCTGAGCTTACCTCCTCGGCGGCAGCTTCAGAAAGCAGACCCTCCTTCTGGGCGCAGGTGACGTGGAAATAGGCCCGGCACATTCCTGCATCACAACTGATGCACACTCCAGTTCTGGCAAAACGGGGATCTTCACAGAAGCTGCATTCCTGCCACAGAACCAAAAGAAAACCGCTCGCTCTGCAACATTCCAGACACCGTCACCCCCACATCTTTCTGGCTCAAACAAAATGGAGATGTATGTACACGAGCAATGCTTCCTTTCAGACGAGGATGGTGGAGCTTCCACGGCGACCAAAAAGCACCACGCTTGAGTGACACGCAGGGAAGCCAGGTGGTGAATACGAGAGAGGAAAGTATGACAGGCACAGAGGACAGGCAGAGAAAAGGCATTTGAGATGGAGTATTCTGTGCAAGGATCAGCCAGGAGGCCCATGTCCCTGGAGCACAATACAGTTTGGTGAAATGGGGGATAGGAGAGGGGTATGGGTAGAAGAAGATGGGGGCGGGGGTGTTGTCTATTTAAACCTGGAGGAGATAGGAAGCCACTGCAGTTTACTGAGTAGGGGATGACAAAGTCAGACCTGTGGATAATAAAGCAGCGAACAAAATAAGGATAGGGAACAAGCTGGCTTAAGAAAAAAATGCCGTGACGAAGATGGATGGGATAAGCTTGGGGCCCGAGCTTTCAACGGTGCCATGAACTCTGAGGTGAGGAAACGCTTATCTTCCAGGGCGACGGACACCGCAACGCACAGCCCTGGAATTGCCTGGAGCAGCGATGCCAAAGCCACCCAGAACCAGGGCCGCGGGGCCGTCCTGGAGAATTCCTGCGGCCGGGTACTGACTGGGAGAGCCACCAACCATCTCCCGACCTCTTCTGCCCAACATTTCCCAAGAACGTTTTAATCTGGGAGGGGACTCGAACCTCGGTCTGGCTGGCTTCGAGGCTAGCTCTTTCCCTGCTGGGCCACACTGCTTGAGGAGTGAATGGCAGCTCTATGGGAGGAGTTTTGTGCCAAAGCGCTGCTCTTTGCAGAGTCCATGACCAAGCCCTGAACACAGAACAAGCGTGAGCGCGTCACAGGCCCACGGAAGTCAAGGAGCGAGCTCTCTACCTGAGTGCCAGTCACTGCGACAGGGAGGAGAGCCTTAGACCAGGAAGGGCCTCCTTCTCATAAGAAGCGGAGGCTACAAGTCCCACCTCAGCAGTGCTCGGGAGCAAGCGAGCAGGGTCCCGCCTCACCGCAGGCAGAGGAGGGAGCATCAAGGGCTCACCACTCCTTCATCAGTGCTGACACCACCCTGCCACGCTGTTCTCCACAGTCTGCTCCCAGGAGGGGTCTCTGCCCCCTAAGGGTCCTGAATTAGACCTGAGCCAGGTCAATGCCAATTGTCACGTCCCTGAGCACAAAGGATGCCTGTCTTCTTCCCTTCCTTCCTCCCAAGACTCTTCTGGGGAAAAGGCGGGCACACAGGAGGCTCTTAATGAACCCCTGTGGACTGGTCACTTCTCAGCTGTGACGTGCTCTAAGAAATAAGGGCAGTAATGATGAGAGGGTAAGTCGATCTGGGACACTTCCCCTGGCACACAACTCCTATACCTCACATGGATTCTGCGGGAAAGTTGGTGGAGGTTCTGAACACTAGGCTTAAAAATGTCCTTTGGGATGGACTTTGTTACACAAAGAAGAGCTCAGCTCCCAAAGCAGGGCGGCTCCTGCTCGAGACCCAAAGTCACAAAGAATATTCCCCAAATACTAAAAGCCAAGAAATCTGGGGAAAAGGTGCTCCTGAGGAGATAAGACACCCCCATCTCACCAGGAAAGGATCCCTCTAAATTTAACTAGAGAGGATGGTAAGATCACAGCTTTAGGGCTGGAGGAAACTGAGGCCCAGACAGGCTGTGACACACCAAAGGTTCAGAGCAAGAGAACACGTATTTGGACTCCAAAGAAAGGAAGCAAAAAGTCATTTTCATGTTTCTCCAAAGCTGAGGGCTAGGCAGGTACAGGGCACACCCCAGGAAAAGGTGGACACTACCAGCTGGCCTGGCTCGACAGCAGCATTCCTGAAGGCCGCCCTACTCCTGCCCTACCACACCGAAAGCCTTCTCATTGCTCTCCCTCTTCCTACCCCAAACACATCAACTTGGTTAAGGGAAAAAGACTGAGCTGGCCAGCAATGTGGGGACCTCAGTGCCCTGAGCAGAGACCACCAGACTGTTCAATACAGATGAGCAAACTGGCAGTGCGAGCCTGATCCACGTGCCTAAGTGTGTCCAGTGAGATTTCTCCCCCTCTAGGAGCCTGGGGGCTCCCGACTGCAGCAAAATGTGCCTTCAACACCACACTGAGACAAGGTTCAGCCAGGCTTGCTGATGCTTGTGACCATGTTTCCCATGTACAACTGCTGTTTGAGAGGAAGATTCTTGGGGCAGAGAATGTGCTACTCATCACATAAAACCTTGCACATAATAGATACGTAACAAAAATTGGGAGAAGGGAATTATCTCCCAAGTTCTTCAGAGAAAAAACCCATCCACGACTAACATCCACTATTTGTATTTGAAACCCTTTTAATATGCTCCAGAGAACATCAAATGATGACTAATAAACTTACAAAATGTAAACTACGCCAAAAAAGGGCATTGGAAAACCTCACAAAGCCCAGTAGAAGAGTTTAACCTTACCTTGGCCCCATACTTGGAGTAATTCATCTCTGTAAGGGTCACAGGCCGCAGCTTGTCAATATCACCAAAAGCCACTCCTGGGACATAGAGGGCGCAGACTATGTGGACCCACCTACAAGGGAGGACACGACAGCATTTATGAACGAGGTTATCAACAAGCCTACACTGAGGACCAAGAGTTCTTTCCCTCCAGGAGCGTGGTCTGGCCAAACGTGGGCTCTATCTTACAAAAACTGTCAGCCCCATAATCTCCCCTTCACCCACATGTTACTAATGCCATCTATGGAAACTAAAGGAAAAGGGTCCCTTTAAACACAACCATGATAGCAACTCCTACAGACAAAGCCTATGTAGGCCAAAGCTGCTGCTCCTCCATCCCCAAGGGGGGCTACCTGCCACCCAACAAGTAAGGCCCCATGCGTTCTCTCTGTCTGTGCTCCTCCTGAGGAGGCAGCATGGAAGGACGAGGGGGCATAGAGGTGAGGTTCTCCAGGGAGGGAATCTAAGCATGGGGGCGAGGGGGGCAGGGGGGATCAACAGAGGGAAAGATGGAAGCGAGAGTGCTGTGGGAGGAGACGAGTGACACAAACGAGACCGGAGAAACTGAGCTGCTGAGCACAAAGACAGGCCAGGATCCAGGCATCTCCTTCCTATTAACTGCCATGCTGGGAAAAAAATGCTCCAAATCGCTAATAATTAGAAAAGGGGATCTTGAAGTGCGGTCTGTAAACCAGTTCTGTAAAATATTTTCACAGCAACTTCAATATAATTAGTTTCCTTTGTAATCCTCTGATTTCATTTTATGCATTTAAAAACCTTTTTCTGAGAAAGTGGTCCATCAACTTTACCAGACTGCCAGGAGGGACCACAACAAAGGGCTAAGAAATCCTGAACTGGAGGAATAAACCCGAGGTCCCACCTCACATCCATCAGATTGGCAATGCTGACAAAAAGGGGAAACGGGAAATGTTGAAGGCGCCACAGGAAAACGAGCCCGTTGAAGCACTTGGTGGGTGGGCTGCCCTTTCCCGGGCCATTTCATACTATGCCCCCAAAGTCACCAAACTCCGCACCCCAGCTGACCCAGTGACCTCACTGAGTGATACGATACATCTGCCCTCCGAGAGCCCAGAGGGCCAGCCAAGCGGACTGCAGAGGCTCATTTCCAAGGTGAGGCGCTATTCACCAGGTGATAACATAGTCTTAAAACATCCCTCAAGACTACGGGACCTTCTGTTTCCAAAGCACAAGTGGGAGAGCAGCGAAGAGAAGGTCAGGATTAGGAATGGGAGAGTTGGGAAGCTACGGATGGAGTGACCACTGGCAATCACTACTAATCTGTATCCAAGTACCGGACAAATGACCTGGACCTGCTAGTCTATCCCTAGACTGAGATGCGTACAGAAGGGCTCATGGAAAGAGGTCTGCCCTGTTCTCTTTGGACAGGTTGCAACGGGCTCCACCAGAACCACAATTCCACGGACTATCTGGTCATTCTGCCTCCTAACGCTCACAAAGAAGGAACCTAAGCAAGAAAATGTCACTGCAAGAGCCAACATCTGCTCCAAAAACAGAGACTTTCTTAAGACCCCAAACGCACAGAGGAAGAGCCCTGTGACTTTTTCCTCTTCACCTGAGTGGGTCCATCTTCAAACCAGGCTCCTTTTCAGTGCAGCCTGAACAGTCAGATTGGCTTCATCCCAGGGTCTCATAATACGCCCAGTGCTTAGTGCTATGCCTGACATATGGTAGGTACTTCATAAATGTTTGTTGACCTATCACCAGTGTCCTTCTTAAGAGTGACTCACCAGGTTGTCAGAGGGTGTGAGCCATAATTTTTGTTTTTTGGGCAGCAGCTTGTTTTTAATGTGAACATGTGTAAGGACACACCTTCAGGACATTAACAATGGCTACAGTTGATTTTTAGCCATAGTCGCACAAGATACCACCAGCGCGCTTTTCTCCGTCTGTCTGGGGAGCAGGATGAGGGCTTAAGAAATCTGGGTGTCAGAGAACAGTCCTGGCCCCCAAGAGCCACACTGCCCCAGGGAAGGGATGCACCGGCCACGCCCAAGGAAAGGGAGCAGCTTTCTCCCGGGTGCCCTTGAGCTCATGGCCAGTTCGTGAGGAGAGGGAGCTAGGTGGCCTTCAGGAGGTAGGGATTTTACTCTCTTCAAAATATTTTTAATAAAGCCAGTTCCAAAGAGGGACGGGCTGGCAGAAGGTCCCATACATTTCAACAGTCAGAAAGGAGTTGTACACTTACTAGCTGTGTGACCCTGGGCAAGTCACTTAACCCCAACTCTCTAAGCAAAAAAAAAAAAACAAAAAAACCAAAAGGAGTTGTATTGGCCAGACCCACTACACGTGGCAGCTCCCGTAGGACCCCAAGGGAGGCAAGGAGCAATGCTGGAGATCCATGGCTCTTGTTGGCATCCATTCTTCCTCATGGTGCCCCAGATGTGTTCACCAGATACCCCCAGGGAAGGACTTGTGCAGGGCCCTTCCTCCCCCCAATTAATGCAGGTGATTCCATAAAGCTACCAAAAAGAACACCCTCCAGCAATTATTAACAGCTGGCTATTTTCCCCAGCCAGTCTCCAAACAGCAGGAAGAGGACTTGAATGGCGGCCACAGTCTTCCAGATGGAGTCCTACCAAGGGGGGTACGTGCCAGCAGCTGCCGTGGGCAGTCTGTGGAAAAGGGCTTCCTGGTCATGTGTTTGTGCTTTTCTCAAATGTGATGAACAATTCTTAAAAACCTTTGCTTTTCACTTCTTGTTTTTATTTTATATGTGTGTGTGTGTACATATATAGATGCATGTATATGCATCTATATACCCTATGTGTATATAACATATTACATGTATGACATATGTCTAGAACCATATGCTAGATGTACTATATACATATATATGTGCATATATAAACTGGAACCTGCTAGAGGAAATGGTGTTAGCCAACCAACAGAATCAGTCTGTCCATCAGTCAACAAGGTTGATTAAGCATGCACTGTATACCAGGTACCATGCTAACAAGTAGGGATAAGAAAGGCATAAACAGACCCGGCCTCAAGGAGCAGATACTCCAAATGGAAAGACAGCACCTAAATAATTAGGTACACCCAACACATATGCAGAGTATGGGGAAGGTCACCTGAAAGTGGAAGACGCTAACAGCGCTGGCCTTTACCTTCCATTGGATTGTGCCAGAGGCTGGGTTTTTGTCCCTCACGACAGACCCTTCAGAGTCTTTACTCATGCAATGAGGCTGCTCTTACTATGTGATAATCCTCATGGCAAGAGGATAAAAAGAAACCAAAACTGGAAGACCCCAAAGGCAGACAGACTATGCAGGAGACTTAGAACATGTTGAAAGCATGCTGTTTTCAACTGATTGAATCAAGAAGAGAGTTTGGAATCACTAAACACCTTGAAAACTAAATTACAACAAAAATGAACAGAAGGAGACAAATGCTCACACCGCTGGAGGAGTCATTTTGGAATGTTCTGCCCTCTGGCCTAGCAGACCCAAACTAGCTGACAGATGTTTACAAAAGTTGTCAATCAAGAAACACGAAGTCTGGACAAAGCCACAAACAGGGAACTTTACTGTTTCCTAGATGTTTAACAAACGCTCAACTGCCGTCACAAGGAGAAGAGCAAAAGAGCCCAGAAACTGCTGCCACCATCACCTGCATAAGTTCTGTAGCAGAGAAAGACGAGAGACAAGGCTGATACGCGTGGGAATATGGACCTCTGTTCTAGAGCCTCCAGAGACCCTGGAATGAGATCCAGAAGAGCCAAAACCAACCAATGGGAAGCAGAGTAGGTCAGCCCCACTTTTACAGTCAGAGATTCACTAAACACTCCTCTTCCTTGATGACCGTGTGTAAACTGCAGGCACCCAGAACATGACAAAGCTGCCTCAGCAAAATCCGTCAGTGCGCAATCCAGAACCCAGGGGATGAATAACCCACTGCCTAGACCGCAACAGTGCCCATGCAGCGGCACCACCAGAACGAGGAACGGCCCATGTCCAGAGGCAGGAGGGGGACCGGGGATTCCAATTCCATCTCTGACATCTCGGGGCCATGACCACAAGCAAGTCCTCTCTTAGCCCCAGCGTCCTTATCCGGACAGCAATACTCCTCATGGCTGTTGTGAAGACCAAATGAGATGACCCAGGCAATACAGCAAGGATTCTCCCCGTGGGAATGCTATCCTCCAAGGCAGATCAAAGCCAATCCACAGCCTAGGCAGCAAGCAAGACCTACAGACCCTGCCAGAGGTACAATTCCTACATGCCCCCAGGAGGATTTGAATTGAGGTCTTTCGGAAGCCAAGTCTGGCCACTGTGAGGAATGTAAAGCTTTCAGAACCCCCACCACAATCATCAATCAAGTGGTAGAAACGGAAGTAAGAAGGCCAGGACTCTACAAGACGAAGAGACCGTGCATGAACATTCTGGACACTGTAGAGCAGCATCATGAACTTGTCTGCCCAACAGCACAAAACAATGAGGCCGTGAGGAGGCAAACCGTGAGACTCCAATCACCAATCCCCTGCACTGTCCCCCTCAACAGGACCCCAACCCAAAGGGCAACGGGAAGACCCAAGGTAGACCCAATGGAGCCTTGCTTGTGCACCTCACAGAGTGCCTGGCTGGTATAGAGATCATAGACAGTGAAGGCTCAGGCATGAGAAGGGGAAAGAAATGGGGGGGGGGGGCCAAGCAGGATGTGTAGAGGCCACGCCCAGGCCCAGGCCAGACCAGAATGGAGGGACTCCTTCCGAGCAGGCATCGAAAGGGTCTCTCGGGATGGTTTGTGGGAAAGCAAAGACAGGCTCAGCATGCCAGCTTCTGACCCAACTCTCGGCCCTGGAGGGTTGCTCACTGGTTCAGAGCAGAGAACTTAATCTGGATGACAGCACACTCCAGTGCTTGTGAATTAATCGGAGCACTGAAAAGGCAGGTGTGGAAATTGTTGCTAAGTTAACTTTTGGATGACTACACCCTTCAATCTCATTCAATCCAGAAGACATTCTCAGGATCACCAACGATGAAAGCTAAACATACTGATCGTGTGCCCTCGTCTTCAGCCTTGTGACCGCATTAACAAAAAATACCGTGGCCCTGGCAAAGATGTCAGAAATTCTACAGGGGGGCCTTCTGGGCCATATGCTGGGCTCGAAAGGAATCCGATCAAAAATCATTTTAAAGGGGCAACTGAGGAAAACAGTCATCATCTTTACAATTATCTTTTCTTGGGAAAATCCAAGGTTCTATTTTTGAGATTTCTGGATAGCTGCTCTAATACAACCTCCCAAATGCATCCCGTCGAGTTCAATTTAGAGACAAACATCTCCAACAAGCAGCTGCTTCTCCATTTAATTGGCCTGTTTCGTCCTACAGTATTAAAGGCCACGGCAGCAACAGCAGTAGCCACGCTGCTGGAGCTTATCTAGCATCAGCCTGACCACTGACTGCCCGCTTCCTCCTGACCTTCCTAAAATGTCGGCGTCCACGTCACACAAGTCCGACAGCCCAAAGCTGCCACTGCAATGGCTGGGCACACAAGCACTGGGATCTCGATTAAAGAACCCGCCCCAGGCAGGGAAGGTCCCAGGAGAGGGGACATCAGTTCTTGTTACTAGCACACCGCGATGTTTGCCTGTGCGTCTGCTAAGCCAGACGGGCTCTAGAACCTTGTAACTGAGACAAATTGGGTAATCAAAGAAGAATAATCCTCCGTGTTACTCTACCATCCTTTTTGCTTTGAGCTATGATGACAGATGTTGATTAAGAAAAAGAACAGGAAAAAAATCATATAAAACAAAAAAAAAAGAGGGGACAGAATTTACATTCTAGCAAGGAGCTCATTCAGCAAAGGGATTTATTTTAAAATTCATATGCATTTTCATACAACTGGAGCCCAAACAAGGTTCCAAGGAAGAAATCAGCATTATATTTCAACAGGAAATAGGATAGTTTAAATCTGATTACCGTCTGTCCATCAGTCAATAAGCATTTATGAGGCTCCTACTCTGTGCCAGGCACTGTGCTAAGAAAAGTCAAGCCACTGAGGTCCCCTCTGACTCCCCTGCTACAGAACACTGATGAAAGACGAGGAGATGACACTGCCCGGTGCCCCCAGGCAGCCACCTGCCAGCGCCCCAAGCTGCTGCGCAATCACCACGATCTACGGAGCGCGATGCAGTGGCAGCAAAGAGAAATCCTGGATTACAGCTCTGAGCTCTGTAACTGAACTCATGTTCAATGAGACACACAGAACAGTGCTTCTCTTCCATTCAATCCAATAATTTTCTGGAACTATTCATGGTCCCATCAGGAATGTAAAAGAAGGGAAGGAAATCTAGTCAGTCTAGACAATAAAAACTGTTTTTCACATGACTGACTGCAGGAGAAAGCATTGATTAAGCACCTTTCTATGCCAGGGGCTGTGATAAGCACAGAAAACAGCAGCCTCATCCCTAGCTGCCAGGAGCACATGTTCTCACAGAGCCACACAGCCCTTACAGGGCCAGGACTAGTGAGGAAAGCCCCAGGGCAAACTAGAGGCACGGCCCATCCGGAGGGTGGAGGGCCATCCACGAAGGTGAATGCTTCCCCCAGTGGGCGAGCAGGGGCCCAGCCGCAGAGGAGGAGCAGCAGTGAGTCAGAGGCAGAAGGAGGGATGGCAGCAACCCTCATAGGCCGGGAGACTTTGGGAGGGCAGATCTTACCCACCTAGCTGGTCCCTGATCCACTATTTCAAGCTATGATGCTAAGTGTCTTGGGCTTCAGAGTTCGCAAGGGCAGGAAATTTTGAGAGCCATAATAACCAGTGATTACTGAAGAATCTTTTTTTGTTTTTTGGGCTAAGCAGTGGGGCTAAGTGACTTGCCCTGAGTCACACGGCCAGTGCGCGTCAAGTGTGTGAGGCCGAATTTGAACTCAGGTCCTCATGACTCCAGGGCTGGTGCTCTAATCACTGTGCCCCCTAGCTGCCCCTCTGCAGAATCTTTTGACGCAATCTTCAAGAGCCCTTGGATTTTCCCCCTTCTCTCCTTTGCCCCTGCCCCCACCCTGGTGCAGATAATCCTCACCTCCCACCTGGACTATGGCAGTAACTGCTGGGGGGGGGGGTCTGCCTGCCTCAAGTCTCCCCTGCTCCAGCCCAGCTTCCATTCAGTCACCAAAGTGATCTTCCTAAAGTGGGGGATCTGACCACCCCCCTCCTCAATAACCTCCCATGGCCCCCTATCCCTTCAGTAGCAAAGACAAAACACTCTGTTGGCCGTCAAAGCCCTTCATCTCCTGTCCCTTCCTCCCCTCCCTGGCTCCCACACCTCACACCCTGGCCCGGCTTCTTCAGGCCAGGGGCCCCAGCTTTCACACACAACACGCCATCTCTCCATCCCAGGCATTTACTCTGGCTGCCCTCCCCGGAATATGCTCCCTCCTCATCTCTGCCTCCTGGCTTCATGTCTCACCTTCTGAGAAAGTCCCCTGAAGGCTAGGGCCCCTCCTCTACAGATTATCGCCCTTCTACCCTGCACACAGCTTGTTTGCCTCATGTTCCCTGCCCCCCCATCTCATCCCTCATAAGAGGAGCTCTTTGTGGGCAAAGATCACAGGTGGGGTTGCCCAGAACAGAGTCAACACTGAATAAAATGCTTGCTGGGGCAGCTACGTGGCGCAGTGGATGGAGCACTGGCTCTGGAGTCAGGAGGACCTGAGTTCAAAGTCGGCCTCAGACACATAAACATTCACTTAGCTGTGTGACTCTGGGCAAGTCACTTAACCCCAACTACCTCACCAAAAAAATAAATAAATAAAAGTAAAATAAAATGCTTGCAGACTAACTGCCAGCATGGGCAAATGCAGCACAACAACTCTCCAAAAGGAGACACAATCACGGAAAGGGCCTGGAGAGTTCGGAAGGCCAGGCTTTCATTCTGGGCCTTCAGCACGTCTTGGGCCTCACAGCACGAGCACAAACGAGAAATGGGTAAATGACAAGGCACAGTCTCCCAGGCAGCTCCTGCTTCCTCTGTTTTCTCAGGACTTACGTTATTTACTCAGGACACAGAGCCGGCTGAGCTACAGCTGAGCTGTGGAAGACAGACACCCTGAGGGAATGGACGCAGCTGTGGCCCAAGGTCCAATCAGTCCTGGCCTGGCTAGACCAAAGGCACCGCAAGACATAGCAGTGTCTACAATCTGGTTATCTGAGAAAGGGTGAGGAAAATGGCTGCTAAGCTAAAAATGCTCCTGAGGGAAGGGCAGGATCTGCGGCCTGAGAAGGCTCCCGGCCCCGGGAACACCGGACGCCCCGTACGCGAGTGCTCCCGGTCAATGTCAGCTCTGGGCCAGCACTCTCAGATCGACGGCAGAAAGAGGACCGACTGCATGTCCAAGCCAGCCAGGATGCAAACCACCCCAGGGACCCAGGGTAGGTGGGGGAGGGGCCAGAGCCCCCCGACTGACCTGCCGGCATCCGTCTCCTTGAAGATCCCGTCCTGGTTCGGACACAGCTCGCAGCTGGGCGACACCCCACACTTACAGGCATCGCAGAACCACGGCTCCGTGGAGTTTTCAGAAGCCGAGCTCATGATGGAGTCACTCTCTCCATCCACACCGTAGCAGCCTAGAACCAAGGAACGTGAGAAACAAGGTAACTCACAAGACGAACCACTTCAAAGGGGCTCCTCTTGGCAGCCCCCCTCCCCCAAAGAGCTGGCTGGCGGCTCCGAGGATGAGGTCAACGGGCCTGGGGCTCAGGAGGACGAGCAGTCCCCAGGTTCAGGAGGCCACCAGCTTAGTTCGATGGCCAACCTCGACCTCTGGGAAACACTTTCACAAACCCACCGCTCCCAAAAAGCACGGCCGGGAGCCGACAATGATGCTCCTTCACCTCTTCACGCTGCCAAGGCAGGGAGGGCACACACCAACCCATCAGCACCCCCAACCTCAATCCTCAATCTGGGAGGCCCTCCTAGGGAAGAAGGGAGCTGGCAACAAACTCGGACCACGAGGCCAGGACCTGAAGGGAGCATCTGCGGGCAGCCGTCAGAGAGAAGACACAGGCAGGAGGCTGTAGCCTGGAGGAGAGGGGGAGCACACATGGCCCAGGAGCCTGCTGGGAATCACAGGCGAATGCCTGGCCTGCCACATCTGGGATTTCATCAATGGGAAACCCCTCTGCCAATCTATACAGACAACCTGCCTGGGCACCATAGTCTTAGAGCAAAAGGCCACGGGCACCAAGAAGTGCCGTGACCTGCCCAGTGCCACAGAGTCCATGGGAGTCATGGTGTGGTACAATGGAGACTGCTGGACCTGGAGTCAGGAAGACCCAAGCTGGAATCTGGCTTCAGAAACTTGCTAGCTGAATGACCCTGGACGAGTTACTGAGCTGCTTGCCTGCCTCAGTTTCCTCATCTGCAAAATGGGGATAATAAAAGCACCTACTTCATAAGAAAGAAGACACGTAAAGCACTTTGCAAACCTTACCACGCTATCTAAATGCTAGCGATTATTCTTCTGAGAGGAGAAACTTGAAGCACGACGTACTCACTGCGAGATTTCGAGCTGCTGCTCATTATACATAACGTAAATTCACTCAGACTATTCTGCCTACACTATAGCCAACCAAAAAGAAATATTCTGAACAAAGTTGCCAATCGCTTGCAATGATGAGCGTGACTCTATGATGCAGGGATCTATGAAGAGACAAACACTTTTCTCTGACCCTCTGACCTGGTCAGGAGCAGAGAGGAGGCCAAGATGAAGCTGGAAAAGAACTAGCCCATGCCAGGCGGTTATGTGTGGCCCGCGCTGCAGACCCAACGGTCTAGTCGGAGCGGGATGCGTCACTGCATGTTGGGCAATTCCAATGTACCAGCCACGCATGGTCAATATGAGAGCATCCAAAGGTGCCCTCAGAGCCAGAGTTCTCAAAGTACTGAGCTCTCACTCTGTGGAAGACATAGACAAAGGCAAGACTGTGTCTGCCCCCCAGGACTGTGCATTCCACCAAACAAAAGAAAACTGGGTGAAATGTCAGAGGGGAGACCCCGGCAACTGAAGGAGATGCAGGTGAGGCCTGACTTGAAACTTGAAGGGAACCAAACAGTCAAAAGAGACGAGGACAGCACTTCAGGAGTGGGGAACAGCCAGAGAAACTGCCTGGAGGCATGAGCTTCTTGCTGAAGGAATGACAAGAAGGCCGGAGTCACTGGATCCCACAGCACGTGGTGGGGGAGGCAGAGAGGGGCCAGGCGGTGAAGGGCTGGGCTTTACAGGAGGTCCTGGAGGGACACTCTTGAGAAGGGGATGATGTGATAAGGTCCACACTTTGGGAAAGGTCATTCTGATGAAGGGCAGACAGACTGGAATGGCAGCAACAGTCCAGGCCGGCCCTGATGAGGGCCTCTGTTAGGGGAGCAGCTGTGTGAGTGGGGAAAAGGGGTATAGATGAGAAATGTCGGCAATGTGGAGGGAAGGAGTGAGACGGAGGAAGTGAGGACGACGCCCAGGCTGCAAGCCAGGGCGAATGGCAGGGCAGGGGCGCCCTTCACCTCAATAAAGAAGCTAGTAAGAGGGGAGGCTTAGGAGCAAGGCAAGGAGGCTTTTAGTCCTGGAATTCCAATAGGAGCTGCACAAGTTAGCCTGGAAGTCAGCACAGAGATGATGCTTGAACCCATGGGACCTAAGGAGATCAGCACAGAAAACAGTCCAGAGGCAGAAGGGAAGAGCCCATGGGCCCCCCATGCTGAGCGGGAATCACGCTGATGAAGGCTCAGTAAAGGAGCCTGAGGAGAGGTCAGACAGGTGGAATGAGAACCGGGGCGGGGGGAAATGAAACCTAGAGGAAAGAGAATATCCAGGAGATGAGGGTCACAGATGGGTCAAGGAAGAAGACTGGGAAAAGGCCATTCGATTTTGAAATCAGGAGATCACTGGTAACTTTGGAGAGAACAGTTTCAGTTCTCAATCAAATTTTCCATACCCTGATTCTTTCGACTTTCCTCTTTTCAAGAACAGTGTTTTTCAAGATGAATAAAATAAAATACATAGAATTTTAAAGGATACCAATGATATGGAAATATAATTATCAAATAGCTCTTAAAACAAATTCACAGATTCCAGGTTAAGAACATCTGCATTAGCATGAACAGAATGACTAAAGAAAAGATGAAGCTAAAATAGAATTCTGAAGACGGAAAACATTTGTCAAAATAGGAAGGAACTCCCAAAAAAAAGAAGAATTTGCCCCCAAAGTCTCCTTGGGGCAAAAGTGGTGAGGCTATTCAAGTCTAGCGTGGCAACACTCAGAACAAAGCCTTAATGCTTAAATCATAGAATGAATGCTCAAAAGGATTATCAAAATGCTGCAGATGTTATGCTTTAATTCACAATAATCAATATTTTCAGTCAACTAAGTCCCATTGGCACAATAGTCACATTCAAGCAGTCAGGAAAACAGATTCCCAGCCATAAAACAATTCCTATCAATCCAAATTTGATAAGCTGTATTTAAGAAGAAAATAAAACCACATCTAACCAGCTTATGTAAAAACAATATATATGTACATATACTCCCCAAATACAACACATATATCCTGCCATTAGGAAATGCATAAACCCACAAGAATCCTATGAATAGTTGTTAGTACTCGAATTTGAAGTCTACTAAAAAATAAGCATAATAAGAGGGAGCTGGGGGCAGCTAGGTGGCACAGGGCTGCTAGGTGGTGCAGGGGCTGCTAGGTGGCGCAGTGGATAGAGCACTGGACCTGAAGTCAGGAGGACCTGAGTTCAAATCCAGCCTCGGACCAAACACTTGACACTTACTAGCTGTGTGACCCTGGGCAAGTCACTTAACCCCAACTGCCTAAAAAGAAGAAAAAAAAATAAGAGGGAGCTGCCGGCTCTATTTTTCAGGTAAGAACTTGAACATACAAAAAGCCACATTACTTCCCCATAGTGTAAAGGATCACAAAACAACTCTGAACTAGTAGGGGTTTCAGCAGGATGCTCAGGAAGGAATTTTCATTCATTTTCAAAACTCTATTTTCCACCGACACATAATCCCTAGACCCATAGTCGCTAAGCACTTGTGCCTGCGCCAGGTATTCTGCCACGAATGAACGCCCGTGTCTTCCTCATTCATCACCACACTGGCTGGTATCACAGCTCTCTGTACGTGTGTCACCGCATCCTCTTAGTGTCTAAGCTCCATGAGGGCAGGGACTGAGTTCTAGAGAAATTTACTCTCACCCACTAAAGGTGTAAAATTGTGCTCTGACCTTAAAGAAGACAGTGAATAAATATGTTTTCTACTGAACAATAATCTCTTTAAAAAGAAACTAAGGCTATGAGCAGCAAGGCTGAGTGAGCAAGTCACTTAACCCCAACTGCCTACAAAAAAGAAAAAGAGATGAAGGCTACAAAGACAAATATAAAATAGGCCTATTCTACAGGAGCGACAAGATCCATACACGCAAGACATACACATACACACAAACACACATAAAAATAAAATAGATACAAAGTAAGCTTGGAAGGGAAGACACCAACACCTTGGGGGACAAGAAAAGGCCTCTGGCAGAAGGCAGCCTCTGGGCTGAGACCTGCAGATAACCACAAAGCTACCCCAAGAGTGCCTGCCAGGGATGTGGGGAAGCCCCCACTGCCACGGCACAGAGACACGTGCAAGCAAACAGCAAGAACAGCACATGTGCATCCAAAAGTCCATGAAAAAGAGGAATGCGTGATAAAGATGGAGAGGCAGCAAGGGGCTGCAATATAAGGAGCATTAAATGCCAAACAGAAGAGTTTGTATCTGATCCTAGAGGTAGCAGGAAATCATGAGGTAACCAAGTTTTGTGTGTGTGTGTGTGTCTGTGTGTGTGTGTGTGTGTGTCTGTGTGTGTGTGTGTGTGTGTGTGTGTGTGAGAGAGAGAGAGAGAGAGAGAGAGAGAGAAAGAGAGAGACAGAGAGAGAGAGAGACAGACAGACAGAGAGGGGCAGAGAGCCAGATCTGGGATTTAGGCATACCACTGTGATTCATCAGATTACCAAAAAAGGGAAATGACCAATGCTGCAAAAGTTACAGGGACATGAATGCCTTATGGGTAGAGCTGTGAACTACTGGCCCAGCCATTCTAGAAAAGCTGGAACTCTGCCCTAAAAGTTATTACCCTGACCAAGAAATGCCTATACTCCAAAGAGATTACAGAAGGAGAAAAATGACCAATAAGGACAAAATTGGAGTAGCCAAGAACTGTAAAGTATGAAGAACTAGGGATCCACAGAGAGATGGCTCTACAAAAGATGGAATCTGAATATCATGGAAGACTACTGCGTTGTTAAGAAATGACCAGGGGGGAAGGAGGAGGCGGAGCCAAGATGGAGAGAGAGCAGTGACTGGCTAGAGCTCTCCCCCAAACCCCTCCAAATACCTACAAAAAATGGCTCTGAACAAATTCTAAAGCAGCAGAACCCACAAAAAAACAGAGTAAAACAAATTTCCAGCCTGAGACAACCTGGATGGCTGATCAGAAAGATGTAACGCGCCGGGCAGGGAGAGGAGCACAGTTCAGCGTGGGCACGCAGGCCGCAGCCACCCTGGAGCAGGCCTCA